GAAGCAAGGTGGTCCAACTCCGGCCAAGTTGACGGTTCTTTGCGCCTGGCCTTCCTCCATGGACTCATCTTCGTCGCCGGAAAGAGTGAGCAAAGTACTCATGGAGGCCGACAGTTCACGGGCCATTTCTATTCCTCCAGTCAAACCAACCTCCTGAATTTCATCATCCTCCTCCTCGTTCGCACGGTCAGATTCACTGCGATGGCCTCGACAACTCCAGACAGGGCGGCAAGGCCGAACAAGAACTACCTGTTCCCGACGGGTGGCCGCGACCAGGACAGCGTTTAGACTCTCAGTCACGCTGAGCGCAAGCCGGGCCTCTGCTTTTTTGTACTGGCTTACAAGAAAGGCCAGCAGGCGTGAGAGATGTCCAGTCAGTTGTCTGGGCGTCATAATCAGAGCAAGGCAGCCCAAAGAACGGATAAACACTATCCGCAGCTGGTAAAAGGTGTTTCATCGGTGGGAAGATATTTGCAAACAATGTAAATACATATATATGTGTATAGCATAGCAGTAAAAATTAATCGAATAAATGAAAACACAAATAATAATGATAATAATAATAATGATAAATAAATAAATAATAAAGTAAAGAAACAAAAAATAAATAATAATGAGTAAAAATGAGTAGTATACATTAATACAACAATGTAAATACATATATGTGTGTATAGCATAAGCAGTAAAAATTAATCGAATAAATGAAAAAACAAATAATAATAATAATAATAATAATGAATAAAAAAATAATAAAGTAAGGAAACAAAAAATAAATAATAAAGAGTAAAAATGAGTAGTATACATTAATACAACTTGAATAACTGAGCACACATTTATGAGTACATATTCAATTTGTATGTTCTTTGGTCTATGGGTGCTATATTTAGTTTATAAGTAGGTTTCTGAGACTACTAGTAAGCGTAATCAACCGATTTTGTTTAAGATGATAAGGTAACTGTTAGTTGAATTTTTCCCACAAGTATATGAGTAGACCTTCTTATGTTTCCATTGAATATCAATTAACCTTGCTTTCCCAAAAGGCATTATCATCCAAGGTGGACTGTAGTTTCGACATCGCGCCCCCAGCGTAACTCGAACCATGACTTCCAGTCACCTCATCAGCCTAAGCGGAATAGGGTGAATAAACTTGATATATGATCTACTAATAGTCTAGAAAATCTCTTTATAAACGGAACATAAGTATTAAGTATTGTTTTTCGTGACCACCAGTAAATTAGTTATAAGATGTATTCACCCAATTTCGTGTAAGGTGATGAAGGACTG